TTTGACAATTATAATTTGAAGTAAAATATGTCACTTAAGACATCAAGAATCAAGCTNTGTTATGTATAGTATTTGTAATTGAGAGAAGGAATTAATTTAGAATTCCTTTCTATGTGTCATAACCTTCGTGTTTAATCCAGACTGGGATAGAAAAGATCAAAGTTAATCCTTACTGTTATTAGTATCACCATTTTAGAAGACTGACATCATGACTGTCATAAAATAAATTTAAATATTATTACTGTTGAAATTTTGTGTATATTATATGAAATTTTGAATTCTGAACCATGTAAAATAAAATAGTCTATGCTTGTCTCCATGGGGCTGAATGTTAGACAGGACCATGTCACTTATGTGTATTGGACGTAATTCTGACTGATGTAAAATATTAAGCCTGTGTTTGTTCCTATGGACTGAATGTTAGACAGGACCATGTCACCTTGGTGTATTGGACATAATTCTGACCGATGTAAAATACAGATTATTATTAGTATTAAAACTTCTGTTGCGATTACATGTGTAATTAAGTGTGACTCAAACTCAAGCTCCAACTCAAAACTCTTGCTCAAACTCAAACTCTTGCTCAAACTCAAACTCAAGCTCAAGCTCAAGCTCAAACTCTTGCTCAAACTCAAACTCAAGCTCAAGCTCAAACTCAAACTCTTGCTCAAACTCAAACTCTTGCTCAAACTCAAGCTCCAACTCAAAACTCTTGCTCAAACTCAAAACTCTTGCTCAAACTCAAACTCTTGCTCAAACTCAAAACTCTTGCTCAAACTCAAACTCAAGCTCAAGCTCAAGCTCAAACTCAAACTCTTGCTCAAACTCAAAACTCTTGCTCAAACTCAAACTCAAACTCAAGCTCAAGCTCAAACTCAAACTCAAACTCAAGCTCAAACTCAAACTCTTGCTCAAACTCAAACTCTTGCTCAAACTCAAAACTCTTGCTCAAACTCAAACTCTTGCTCAAACTCAAAACTCTTGCTCAAACTCAAACTCAAGCTCAAGCTCAAGCTCAAACTCAAACTCTTGCTCAAACTCAAAACTCTTGCTCAAACTCAAACTCAAACTCC